ATTACACAGCAGTTCCACTGGGGGCTCACTCGGGCTGGCTGAACGCGTGGTTGACCTCGTCCAGGAGCTTGCACACCTGCCCGAGCGTTCAATAGGATTTGGGTTTGCCGCGCAGTGCGCAGGCAGCCGCGCCCAACTGGAAGCTAGACCGCCGTATGCCGAGCACCCAGTGGTCGAAGATCAAAGGATGCAAATCCCCGCGACTATCTTTTGAGGACGGTTGCGCCAGAACGGCGTGCTGTAAGGCTCATGGTCTTTGAAGTGAGGTTGGACCTGCACGCCGACCACAAGCCTGGCTTTCATCACCCTTTGGGTCCCGCTCTTGTGGCGGAAACGGTAGTTCACAGGCACATACTTCGCGCAACACAGCTGTCGTGCTAAATCTGTGATGTGATTCTGCTGCAGCAGATCTTGTTTCCTGTCCTTCTAGACCATAGAGGCAAGTCGACTGCATCATTGTCTGCTGGAGCGGGCCAGGACCATTGCCACCACTGCAGCAGCAATCGCTCCTGCAGCGGCTGCGCCCAAAGCTGCCCCTGTGGCGAAATCAGAGAGCCTCAAAAGCCGCGGCGACACAGGTAACAAGACAAAGACTGAGGAACAAGGCTCCGATTAGGGCCAGCACACAGGCTTGGGCTTTAAGTACGGTGGCAGCTGTGCACGAACCTGACAACACGCAAAGATACGCAAAGCAATGGTTTGTCAAAAACCGTGCAGGCTGATACGAGTATGCGTTGATGCCCAGGCCTGGTCTCCGTTCTTCTCTTGGCCCCACCCCCCGAAGGTCACGAACTCCTTGCAGCGAGGAGAGCACGAAAACTCACTCATCAAGGCCCTTCTCCTCGCCTCAGCGATGGTTGGATGGATGGCGACTGAGGCCTCGCCACGGAGACCAACGCTTCAAGCAACGCACCATGTGGCACGGCTCTGCACACTGCAGCTCTGGAGCTTCGAAGTCCGCACGCGTGGCCCCCATGCGGACAGCCACGGCGAAGCCCTGCATCATCTCGTCCTCGGGTTACAAGCTCATGGAGGCCTTGAATCCAAAGAAGACGTAACAGCTCGTCATTCGTTTGCGCTCGGGACACTTGCAATATGCTGGTTGCTTCTTACTTGGTCACAGCAGCGACAACAACAACATTTCATTCACACGCAGCGGCGGAGGACTGTCTGTGGTGAAACTTATCGTCCACGCTTTGCGAGGGATCGACCTAGTGCCCTGCTTACTACTTGCGCGGTCACTCTTCACGGCAAGCCGTGCCTCAGCGCTGCACTTGCACACGCTCCGCCCCTCAGGGCTGCAAGCTGTGAAGTGGGAAGCGAATGTGTCTTGAGAGTCTTATGCGGCGTTATGATTTCGGCACTAGCTTGAAAGCTAACCGGCTTGGTTGCAATGTATCACTGGCTGATTGGCAGCAGATCATTTTGCACTCAGCTGCTGGGGAGAAACTCCACCAGCTATACACACATGACAAGGGGAGAAACTCATCCGATTGTTGGGGAGAGTCTCCTCCATTCTCCTCCTAAGGGAGCATCTCCGCAAGCGGTCTGGCTCAGGAAGAGGCTGCCATGAGACGATCTTGTCCCTGCTGAGTGTTGCCACTGTTCCCATTTTGGTTTCTGGCTGCTCCATTCCCTCGGCCTCCGCTTCCTCGTCCCCTGCTTTTGCCCCCTCGCTATTGTCCTCTGCCTCGTTGCTGGGGAGTACCTCCACCACGCTGTCGCTTCAGGGGAGAATCTCCACCTGACGGACCTGCGTCTCCCCGTTTAGGGGCAGAGCTCTCATCCATCGATGCTCGCTGGAAGAGCTCTTGCAGAGACATTACTCGAGAGATTGGCTACGTCCTGGGGCTCGTGAGAGACGGCGCTGCGAGCTAGGAAAATGACGTAGCTATTTTCTTGCAGCAGGGGATCTTCGAGGGTACAGGGACTAGGGGGGTGAGAGTCGTCGCCAACATACCAGGCATCTGTTGTGTGCACAGCTGCACGGTAATGACCACTAGTGGGCTCCATTCCTAAGTGAATGATCACTGCCTCAACTGTGTAGGTACAGAAGGAAACTCGGGATGTGTGATCCAGGAAGACAGGGATCAGGACTTGCTGTGGGATTGTGATGCGAGTCTAATCGAGCTAGGAAGATGATGTAGCTATTTTCTTGAAGCAGGGGATCTTCGAGAGTACAGGGACTAGGGGGGTGGGAGTCATCACCAACATACCAGGCATCTGCTGTGCGTACAGCTGCACGGTAATGGCCACTAGTGGACTCCATTCCTAGGTGAATGATCACTGCCTCTACTGTGTAGGTACAGAACGAAACTCGGGATGTGTGGTCCAGGAAGACAGGGATCTGGACTTGCTGTGGGATTGTGATGCGAGTGTGATCCTTAGCTTCACCTGCGAATCTCGGCAAGGCTAAGCACACCTGCTGTGCAGCTTCTATGAGAGCACATGAGCGCTCCTGAGACGACCATGCCACTAGCATGTCCTGTAGGTTGGTCTTGATCGCCGTGGCAAGATGAATGGGAGAGCCCCCTTCTTCGTCCACTATCACGCCTTCCGGTACTGAGGCTCTAGTTTCCCACTGTCCAAATCTTGATGCAGAGAGATTCCGAAACACTTGCTGCAGGAACTCAGCAGAGTCGTGCTGGCCTCCGTCAAAGAGCCAGCCCATGGTGAGCTCCGAGAAGACTCTGTGTTCAGGGGTTATTCTCGCAAGCTGACTGATCCGGGATGCCTCTTGAAAAGTCGCCTCTGAAGGATCTGATAGCCAGTGGAGACACTGCAGACCTGAGTTGGCATAGCAGTGGTTGCGAGTATTGGCTAGCAGGAGAAAGCCTTCCAGTCTAAACACGGGGTGAGGAATTCCTGGCGTTGAATCTGAAGGCTTCTTTGTGACTGTCTTCGCCGATGCCGTGGACTTTGCTCGAGTATATTCGCGGGGCTGCTTGCTGAGCTGCTGGCGCGCTACCTCCTGCAGTACGTGCACCTGCAGTAATGGAACGCACTGCTGAGCATGTCTACCCGGGGCATCCACACGAAGTTTGCAGTATCGACAACTATCTCCTTTGTGGAAGAAGACCTTGAATTGATTGAGTCTTGGTTGGAGAGTTTTCTCCAGCTTGGCCATCACCTCAGGATGCTGCTTGTTTAAATGCTGTTTGGCTCCTTTCTGGCCTACGAGGACCTGACCACAGAGTGCGCAGTGTTCCATCAGGTAATCATGGAACGCCGGATTTCGAGCGGCGCCTTCTGGATTGTCCTGGGCATCAGACTGTAGACTTTCTACGAGTGAGATCCGGTTCTGTGCTTCTAAGGGTAGCTCTTCCTGCTGTCTAAGCAAAAGCTCTACCCTAGGGCAGGTAGATGCTTCGACATGTTTGCGCAGATAAAACACTGTTCGGAATGTTGCTCGACAGGCGATGCAAGTTGCTGACCCTGGCATTGAATGCAAAATAGGATCAAATTTGGGTCCTTTCAGGCACTGCTGAGAATCTGGGTGAGCCTTCTGCAGGTGGCGACGGAGTGCTCCGGTGCCAGAGAGACATGCTCCACATTCACCGCAGGTCAGAAGCCTATCCTCCACATGGTGCGAGGAGAAGTCCGTGGAGAGGCCTTCCAATGCCTGGCTAACTGCCTCAGCACGCAACTTATAGTGTGGGAGAAGCTGGGGATCGGAGTGTTGCTGTCTCTTTATAAACTGGGTCATTCTCTTTTGCAGCTGCTCCTTCACGTGAGGAATCCGTAATCTCCGGAGTAACTCCTGGTTTGATTCCTTCGTTTCCTGGGAGTAACTCCGCAGGACGAATCTGAGTTGGTACATCATGTGTGAATGGAGCTTTTGCAATCCCTGCTGTGTCATCCCCACCACGTGACGTGGAGTGCATACAGAGCAGAGGCCCACGCAGTTATTGTCCAAATCGACAGACGACGTCTGTCTGATAAGACTCGGTGGTTCCGAACTGCATGGGCTACTTCTGACATTGCAAGCTTACTGGATGACAGCCGATGTTTGAGAGTCTTCATTTCATAGTCGTGATAAGAAAGAATGACCCCCAAGTATGCGACCTGATAGCTAGCTCATCCATATCAGCCTGCCCGAAGGGAGTTCAACATACTTCTCTCCCTCGACCTGGCGAAAGAGTTTCTTCCTAATGGTCGAGGCTGAGCCCCCTTGCAGCTGTAGCAGAATTGCTGACTTGGACGGATTGACCTTGAACCCAAGCTCTACCAGCTGATCCAGAAGCAGGTCGCAGTACCCTAGTGCTGTCATGAGGCCGGCCTCAAAGTCGAAATGCGACTGGATCAAGCTATCATCTGCGTACATTGTGAGGAGCTTCACTAGTTCTGCTGGGCTGATTTTCCCAGAGAGCTTCCTAAAGAGAAGCCCTGATGCAAAGGCGAATAAAGAGGGTGCTAGCTTACATCCCTGCTTGATTCCCCTGCGTGTGGCTATCTCAAAGCTCTGATCGCTGGCTGTCATCTTGTACAAGGCTTTGATGTGGAGATGGCCTACCACCTCTATCAGAAGAGGATCTGCTTGTTCGGCTTCCAGGGCCTCTCTTAATCGCAGCCTGTTTACAGTGTCAAAAGCTTTGCTCATGTCCACGCTCATGGTGAGACTGCCTCTGAGCTTGAGCCCCTGTTGTCCCTTACCTGCAGCCCTAGTGGTGAGGGCCTGTCTGAACCTGGCCTGGTCCACATGTGTGAGGGCCTTGCAGATAGCCTCCTCTGTGCCCCTGCCTGGGACAAAGCCGAACTGAGAGACGCCGGTCATTGCTAGCTGGAGGGTAGACTTGAGTCTCTTCCTCACGAGTCCGGCTAGGACCTTACCCTCAGGTGCTATCACCCCGATCGGACGGAGTGAGGTTGGTTTGTCTGGCTTCTTGGGAGGCTTTGGGAGCCAGGAGATCTGTGACGAGGTGACACTGTCCGAGAGCCTTCCTGCAGTGACTTCCCTATTAAGGGTGTCCGAGATTAGCCGGATTGCTTGGGGACCTAGGGAGCGCCAGGCTACTACGGGAGGACTCTCTTTAGGAACCGCCTTGCCCAGCTTTATTGTGCCAAGCTGTTCTTGCACTTCTTGCTCAGTGATGTGCAGGCTGCCTTGTATCCCTGAAAGCGGGAAGTCATCCCCTGCTCCAAACAGGTCTAGGGAATATTCCTCTAATTGTCTTCTTTCTTCCTTGGCAGTAAGGAAGCGACCCTCAGAATCACGAAGCTGAACTCTTTCCTGGGGCCTCCCCGACCTGAAGCGCTTGATTACCTTGTAAAGGGAATGACTCCCGTCCTGCTTGGACTTAAGCTCTGCCTGCTGGAGTTGTTCATCTATTTCCTGCCGCCGCCGCTCCTGCTTGTGACGCTTTGCTACCCTCGCCTGTGCACTTTGCTGGGAGAACGAGCACCAGCATCGGAACACCATACGGACCTGCAGCTCGGGCAAGAACTCTGCTAAGACCTTGACTGCTAGTGGGAGTGAGCGCAACACAGAGCGCTCTTCCCAGATGCTGAGATCTGATCTTTGTGCTGCTTCCTTTCTCTTGGGAAAGTGAGTCGCGAGGGCTGAGTTCATTGCTTGATGGAGACTCTGCCAGGTTTGGGGATGATCCTGAAGGAGGGAGTCTACCTCCCTGGCAAATGCCTGTATTTTCGGGGAACGGTGTCTGTAGCAGTCCTCCATTGCCTGCTGGTCATAGGGTTTTGAGGCTTGGGCGGAGTATCTCCTGCTGTGCCTCAGTTTACCAAGAAGGGGGAAATGCCTACTACCATCCCTCCAGGATGCAACTGGGAAGGTCCTTAGTGGCCGGCAAAACCTGGCGGGGCCTTGGGACTGTGCAATCCTGACAAACGAGAAGTCAATCTGTGAAACAGAGTTGCCTTGTTCGTGGGTGGCTGGTCTATGCACTCCCCAAGTGTTGGTTGCGACTAGCTGGTGCTCCGACAGTAGGGTCTGGAGATCCTTAGATCCGCGATGCCCGA